TGAATTATTTTTATTATATTTACTTTATTCTAATAAAATTATATGAGCAGGATATTGCCTTTATTTAAAAAAAAAAAAAAATAAATAAAAAGCTCTTGCCGCATTGATTGGTATTGAAAATTATCTTAATAATGAAAAACTTACTTGTTTAGATTTAGAAAACAATAATTTTACCACTAAATTTAAATATTCGTGATATACAGAGCAATAACAAAAAAAAACCAGAAATATTGATATTGATGTTGATGTTGATGTTTAAAGGTTTCCATAATAAAACTCAAATCATAATAATAATAAAATTCTTTTTTTTTAAGTTCTTGTCATTGTTACGTTGTTTTGTATTATGATAATTAGGAAAGTTTATGTGAGTATATACTCATCGAAATCTAGGCTACATGTTAATATTTTCTATGTATGGTTGTTAATGCAATTAAAAAAATAATACCTGGATATTTTTTACAGGAATCTGTATTAGTATTGTACAATTGTTTTAGGCTTGATAAATAATCATAAATTGCTTCTTTTCTTTGAATAATTACTTCACTAGAAAACGCATTGTTTTTTTTTTAATTAATTTTTTTTTTGCAATGTGCTCGTGATATTCGAAAAATTTGCGGATGATTTTTGTGATTATTATTATCTCGCCTGAAAAATTAATAATATAGAATAATATTTTTTTCTTAAACGTAAAAATGCCAAATAAGAGCCAAATTACAAGAAAACAAAATGATAATACTGGCAACAGCTTTTCGAGGAAAAGCTTGTGTCAGCTCTTGATATGCTTCGAACTTTACCATCAACAACAATTGCAGAGCTGTTAAAAAATGAGGTTGGGTTAGCGGAAAGTAGCTTAGATCATTTAATAAATACTTTTCATAAATATTTAAGATCTGATCACAATATGGTAAGTTTCCAACAAATTTATTGTTATGAATCCATTCATTTTTTGTCAATTCATATTTTATCTTTTGAAAGATCGAACCAATTAATTCTGAAGCAGTGATAGGCGAAGGACCGTTCCTATCTCAAGGTACATAATTTTATTTTTTAGGTTTGTTTTTGATCTGATATCAGAAGAAAATTCTGGTAGTGATTTTAATAATTTTGGTAAAGATTTCGACAAAGATAGTAGATAGTAGCAGTTCACCAAATCATGATGGTAATGATGACTATAATGGTAATGGGATGACTAATGGTGACGAGGATGATAGAATGATTACCAGTCAACAAACATCAGATCAAAATGGTAATAATGACTATGATGGTAGTGAGACAATGACTAATAGTGATGAGGGCGATAGAGTGATTATTAGTCAAGAAACATCATATCAAAATGGTAATAATGACTATAATGGTAATGGGATGACTAATGGTGACAAGGATGATAGAATGATTATTAGTCAACAAACATCATCAGATCAAAATGGTAATAATGACTATGATGGTAATGAGACGACAACTAATGGTGACAAGGATGATAGAATGATTATTAGTCAACAAACATCTAATCAAAACATAAATGAACTTGATGATGCTGAGAGATTGTGGTAGAAAAAGAATTAGATCTGTCCAGGATTTTAATCTTTGCCAACAAAATCATAAAAATTATAATGTTGGGTCCTCAGCAAAAAGATGTCATAGAAATCAAAAGGCAAGTATCACAGAACTTTGATCTTTACTACTTATACATAAATATAATATTTCAAAATATATAGGTTCCACAGCCAATATCAACATAGTCATCTCCTCTGCAATCACCAATACTGCCTTCTTCAGAAATAAATTTTTCTGGCAATGATTTAATCTGCTTGGAATGCCCTCTTCACTGTGGATTGCTTCTGGATAGTCAATCTATATAATTTATTTTGTGATATATTATATGGAACGTGGATTTATTGACATATTAATTATCTCATCCTAATTCACTTTGATCTGATAATAATAATTATCTTGTAATGACACTAATACCTAACAAATAAAAACATATCTTACACATAAAATTCACCTAATTACCCCCTCTCATCACAATTCATTATCATAACACTTAATCACTGTAAACAAATATCACTAGTATCAACCACACTATAAACAGAGCATTTAAGTTGCTTATCTGGTCAAAGAGAGCTTAAGCACTCTTTATTTGTTAAATATGTAAAGAAAAAGTATTCTAAAGGAACATTCCTCTTCTTCAAGGAATACTACTTAAGGAAAAACAATGATAACAAACAGACATTAAATTATAATAATAATTGCATTGTGTTGATGATGACTAAATTTTGAACCCTTGAAATCTTTAGTAATATGAATGTTCACTTTGTCTGGTTTTGTTGCAGCATGCCCCAAATACTCTAGAAACATGTTTAGAATGTGGTCCCAAAGATCCATATCCACCATCTGATCCTATAAATTCTCTAGAAACGTGTCTAGAATGTGATATTAGCCCATCCACATTTAAAAAAATTCTCTAGAAACGTGTCTAGAATGTGATATTAGCCCATCCATATTTAAAAATATTCTTGAAACTGGTCTAGAATTATTATTATTGTTGTTGTTGCTCCCCATTTCTAAAAATAGTCTAGATCTTCTTATAGTAGCTGTGCCACTACCATTATTGTTATTATTACCATTATTAATGTCTGTTACATCAATTTCATTATTATCATCATCCAAAATTATTTTTGAAACTGGCCTGGAAGGTGGTATAACTTCTAACTCTGTAAATACTTTTGAAATTGGTCGATTTCGAGTTCTTTTCAATCCCGATCTAAGGTCTTTAATCACCTCATCAAATTCTCCTTTTCCTGATAATGATGATGCTACACTTGATGCATCTGATAATCTTCTTGTTGTCTGAAGAAAATATTATCATAATAAATGTTTAAGTAAATACTAAAGTATTTTATTTTTAATAACAATAGTTATTTTTAATATTACCAAACGAGCTTGATTATTAAGTTCTCTTTGTTTTTCTTTTTCAATTTTCTTCTTCATTTCTTCATTTTCATTTTTTGCTTTCTAAAAAATAATAATCAAGTTTTAATAAAAAAATCAAATAAAAATAATAAATACATATTTATAAATAAATCAAACAGACTGAAATACATGTAAAGATGTTCCAAATGATACAATCATTCCAAAAAATTCTTCTGGTATCATCTTTTTAGGATCTTCTCCATAATAAATTAATAAATTTTCTAAATCTACTTCAAGAATTTTTGTTTGTTCTTTAATATTTTCAATTATTGGCTCAACTTCTTGTACAAACACCTAAATTAAAAAAGCTTAATAAATAAAGGTTTTTTTAAAATAATAACAACAATCATCATCATTTTTACCTCCATAACTTTAATAAAATTATCATTTTCATGATGTTCATGATTTTTTTTCAAAATAACTAATTCATCCTTTATTTGACTAATGCCTGCTCCTAAACTAGTAACAGTTGCGACTACTGTTACCATTGATATTCTTGCTGCTGCTTCTGTGTGTTTTAATTCTTCCATCAATGATAGTATTTCCTTTTGTGTTTCTTCTAACATCATGACCAAATAATGTAATAAAGTTGTTGCCCCTTTTGGATTATTTTCTACTGCTTTTGTTTCTCTTATCTATAAATTATGATTTAATAAGTAAATAAGTATTGTTATAAGTAATTTTGGCAAATTTACCTTTAAGAGACAATCCAATTTGTATCCAATAGCATTTCCTCGGAAAGTTGAATTGTTCAAAAAATTTCCCATTACTAAAATAGTCTATAAATAAATAGACAACAAATAAATTACATTCGTATATAGATTATATAGATATAGATATAGATCTAGATATAGATAAATACTATACTTTAAGTAATTGTTTAAATTTTTGTGAACTTAGTAACTCTTTAATTGCTAATTGTAATACTTCAATTTCCTAAAAATAACAGTAGTTATATTAAAAATATTTCATAATTAAAAATTTTTCTTTCTAAAAAAAAAATCAAATCAAATTACTGGCATCAATTCTTGAATATCCATTTCAAATTTTCTTCTATATATCATACATCCTAATCTTTCATTAAGTCTAGGTATGTCCATTATTTCC